TGTAGGATAGGGACTGTTGTGGGGGGTGTTTTGGCCGTGGGGTGCACTGGCATACGGGTAGGGGGTAGTGAGATAGGCTTGGGGGTAGGGGTTGTGTGGGTAAGGGTTGGGGCGAGGACCAAGAAGGCCCGAGTATGGACTCGGGTTGGGGAACTGTCCAGTAAGCTGCCCGTGGGTGTGACGTGCATTTCACCCGGAGCTTTGGCCGCGACCACGACCCCGCTGCTGTCCACCACGCTGTCAATTGAGCTGCGACTGTCCAGGACCACCTCCACCGCTGGAATCTGGTTGGCCTTCACTGCTGCTGCCATAGCGCCGTGAGGCGCCACTGCCGGGACCTCCACTGTCGGCGTATAGCGCCGTGCCACCGTCCCCCGTGACGCCGCCGGTCCCCAATTCTTGCCGCTGTTGTTCAATGAGGAGAAGGGCCGAGTGGGTTTGAAGAAAAGTCGGGGGCGGTGTTTGATATTGGAGGAACGAAGTTTGGCCCCGAAGATCGTCTGGGAGGCCGCGGAGAACTTGGAGGACAAGTTGTTGTTCTGAAACTGAGGCATCCACATCATCCAACCAATCCCGAGGAAATCGCCGAGGGAGAACCGGCGGATGAGGAGAAGAAAGAGGCGGCTCCACTTCTTGTAGTTGGGTTCGGAAAAGCTGAGAAGGATCGGTACATGTAGCTTGACGTTGGAAATAGTTGTGAACGCCAAGTGGGGGGTCGGGGAGGAGGATGGCGTGCCGGTGGCGGAGACTTTGTCAGACATGGTGGAGCGACGGAGATGTCCTGTCGAGAGAGAGAGAGAACTGCCGAGGGGGAGAGAGAGCCTGCACGAGAGGAGGTGCTGCTGCTGGGTGAGCGCCGGCGATGCAGGCGGCTGAGTTCGGCCGTGAGAGAAGAGAGGCGCTGCTAGGGTTGGCAGCGGCGCTAGGTCGAGCGAGGGAGAGAAAGGAACGAAGACTCAGATACCATGAATAATGATTAATTTCAATAATCAATTACGGAGGACTGAGCCTCGTATAAATAGTACAAAGGAATCCTAACTACGGAAGGAATACAAGGCAACTACCATATTAACAATGATTACAACATTAATATTAAATATATATATATATATATATACTATATTTAACAATTAGTTTATTTACTAATACAAGCAATATTAAGTAAAACCAGCTCTTAAACATGCCATTTCCCTCCTGCTGCCTTGCACATACCAATTCAAATACTCATTCTACATTACAGCATTCATTTGCAGTTTTGCACACAAAAAATGGAAGAGGGAAATCTTACAGACGACTGCTTAGTCGCAATTTGCAATGCGTATATAGCTACCGAACATACTCAGTCCTCGTTTGGAAATAGTTACCATATTTTGAAAAGACTATCTAACACAGTAGTGCTCAGTTTTTAAAGTTGATCTACAACATTCATGTTCAAAACGTTAACGAAAAACATTGTTTCCAAACCGACTGTTAAGACACAAGTGACTATAGTCAACAACAAGCATGGAACAAATTTGCAGCCCCCATCAATCTTCTAAATCGTCATTTTCATCATCATCTTCATCTTCATCCTCTTCAAATTCTTCCTCATCTTCTTCATCATCTCCCAACTCCTCCTCGTCTTCAACGATAAAACCACCAAGCGTCTCATCATCATCCTCATGGGACACTTTCGCACGCGTACTTTTGCATTGGCCTGAAAACTTCCCTTTTCCAGTGCCCTTAGACCTAGTAGTAGTCATATACTTTGGCATTTCAGCTCTCCTAGATTTGGTCATTTCTTCCTTCTCCTCACTCTCCACTCTCCACTCATCATCTTCATCATCTTCACTTTTGTCGCTCTTCCTCCTCTTCCTCCCTCTTCTTCCCTCATCATCTCTCGTTTCCTCGAGATCCCAATCCCAATTCTTAATGTTATGAATCATGTCCTTTGGATACCCATCAAATTCATGCCCCATTACCACCAATCCAAACTCTGCACCGTTTCACATTTACAAATTTCCTGATCAGGAATACTAATATTCAACCTAAACTATATCTAGTTATCTTCTGCAAGTAAAACTGGATTTAGCATGAATAATCAGACCATCAACTGAAAATCTTGCAGGTTTTAAGTATGGAAAAGTGGATAACAAACCCTAGACCTTTGACGGGGTCAATTTCAGATAGATTGATGGAATCCAGTTCCAATTCTTCAATCCCTAGGCGTCCATGGCTGCTTCCAAGGCTCTCCGCTAACTCGGACTCAACAAGCGGGTCGATTTTCCTGTCCTTTTCACCTTCGGCTTGGAAATCGGTTTTCTTCAGTGTGAACCAAACGGGGTTCTTCGCGGAAACGCAGAAACTGTCACCGATCTCCATTTCGCCTCTTTCGGAGCTCCGGTATGCCTTCACTCCGCCGCTCTTGCTGGTGTGGACCCAAACTGGGTTCTTCCCGACGACTTCGAAACGAACCCGAGCGCCGTCGCGGTCATGCTCTGAGGACGAAGGGCAGGGGTGGAACAATATTTGGCGGCGTGACACAGTGCGGTCGTCGTCGCCGCCGCTGTAGAAACCGGCGCCTCTCCCGAAATGGGTGGTGGACCTGTGTACCAATAGAGTTTTGGACCCGTCGCTGCTTTCTAATTCCATATTTTGGTTTTATAACTACCCGAGCACGGCGGCGTCCGGCATACTTACAGGCAGACAGCAATTTCTAGCCGGGCGTGTTGTGGACCAGTGGCCTTGTGTGAATTGGAAGTGTCAATGGGATCCCTTTTAGTTTGAAATAATTAGATTTTGTTATGAAATTAATGATTCTTCATTTATTCAATTAATCAGGTCTATTTTCTTGAATAGTAGATTAAGACAACTATTGATAAGTATCACTTATGTACAGTACTTCCCACTTGTATTTGTATACATACCAACGCTCTCCACTATAAATGGAGACCTAATCCCTGCATTGTAATCACCATTAAAAATAAAAAGAAGAGTGAAGAGTTAATAGAGAGAAGAAATCAGAAATATATTATATCTATTCTCATAATCTCTGAATAGTTTTTCTCTCATTTTACAACACGTTATCAGCACGAATTTGCTCAAAATCCCATAATCCTTGTTCTTCTCAGAAGGTATATTTATTTAATTTTCTTCATAAACAAATTAAAATATTTTCTTAAAACTATGAGAAATATGCTCTGTGATTGCCCAAAGTTGGGATCCTTCACATCAGAAACTTATAGTTATAAAAATAAAATTAGATTAATTAAAAAGGAATAAGTTTTCTCATAATTGCAGAAAATCACATTTAAAAAAAAGGGATAGAATTTAATATGAAGTAGCTAAGATCGAAAAACGAAAATTAATTTTATCTTTTAAAATACTATTAAAAGATAAATAGTAAAAGAAAGAAAAAAAACATCCTAGACTTCAATAATTTCAATTACGAACATACCTTGCTTCTACCCTTTTCTTCTCATTTGTTCTCGTATCTCTAGATTTAAAAAAAAATATAAAGGATTGTTTAAGATGATGAGTGTGTATATAAGACTGGCTATGATGCCTTTTTACAACGGTACAACCATATACGTAGTACATACATATCCATATACATGTGACTTTGTTTTGTCTTTTTATTACTAAAAGAATCATTTTATTTATTTATTGATTTTAGTTACTCATCATGACATTTGATTTTTTTTATGGAGTACGAAAGTGTAACAGGTGACATTTGTCATTTTTCTTTTGCTCATATTTGATTTTTTTTAAAGGGAATCAATTTTTTTTTGTGTAATTTAAGGGAAAAGAATTGGCTCATATTAGTACACATGTCTAACATTTTTTTAGTTCATGTATTATTTATATTGTGATCATACCTTTGCTTTGTTTTAAAGCTCTTGAATAATCAATACTGCTCCATACGTTTGGCATTTTTTTTTATTTGGTAAAATAAATTTTTTTACACCTATTTACTTAGTTTTTAAAAAAACAATATTAATAAAATTAAAATTTATTGTTTTTGTAGTTTCCATGGCCAACATCACTAAAAGAGAATTCAACATCCTTGATTTATCCGGTCAAAGGTACTTGCAATAGAGGGTTGATGCACTTGCTCACCTCAAGGCTAATGGCCTAGAAAATACAATTGCTTAGAATAATACATCATCTTCTCAGCAAAAGGTAAAAGCCATAATTTTCCTTCGCCACCATATTCATGAAAGTTTAAAATCTGAATATTTATTGGTGGAAGATCCGAAGGAATTATGGGATAATCTCCCAGAAAGATACGGACATCAACAAAAGGTCCTATTGCCAAGAGTTCAATATGAATGGATCAATTTAAGATTCCAAGATTTCAAATCTGTTTGTGACTATAATTCTGTTATTTTTAAAGTCACGTCCACATTAAAATTATGTGGACATAATATCACTGACCATGACATGTTTGAGAAAACTTTTTCCACCATGCATATGTCAAATGTGATATTACATCAACAATACAGAGAAAGGGGCTTTAAAAAGTATTCTAAGTTAATCTCAGTATTACTTGTTGCTGAGCAGAATAATGAGCTCTTAATGAAAAATCATAAAAGGAGGCCCACCGGTTGTAGCCCTACAAATTTTGGCCATCCCGATCGTGGTTCAGCACCTGAATCAAATGTTATCCAAGGTGGTGCTCGCGGACACTTTAAACGTGGACGCGGAAATAACCGCAACAAAGGGCCAAATAGGGGCTACAAAAATCCAAATGGATCATCCTCCAAGGGAAAAGGGAAATTCAAACCACCACAGGCTAAAACTCATGAAAAGCCAAAACCAAGTGGTGAATGCTATAAATGTGGCATAAAAGGACATTGGGCTAATGAATGTCGAACGACAAAACACTTGGTAAAATTATACCAAGCTTCCACCAAAGGAAAATAAAAAAATGTGGAGGCTAATTATGCTGATGATATCAATCCAATTTTTCCTAAATTTGACGTGTCCGATTTCTACATGGATGATGCTGAAATTGGTGATGAGGTGGCCTTTGGTGGAACTACTACTGTTTAAATATTTTAATTTACGTTGTTATGGTGTGTTTACTTTTAAAATAAATGTTTAAAATCTGTACTTTAATTTTCATGTGTACTTGTATTATTATGTCTGTTCTAAAAAATTATAATAAAATGTATGATATTTGTGTTAATTATCTTGAACTTATATTTATTTATATATTTATTTATATTCAAGATATGGAGATAACTGCTTATGGCTCTAGTGGCAAAAAACAATGTCTAATTGACAGTGCCACAACGCACACCATTTTGAGAAACAAAGAATATTTTTCTCAAATGACATTGATAGAAACTAATGTCAATATAATATCTGGTGTTGCAAAGCTCATTGAAGGGTCTGGAATGGCTTGTTTAATCCTTCCCCAAGGAACAAAATTAATTATCAAAGACGCATTATATTCCAGCAAATCCCGAAGAAATTTATTGAGCTTTAAGGATATGCTTCAAAATGGTTATCACATTGAAACCATGACAGAAAATAAAAAGAAATACTTGTGTCTAACGACAACCAAATCTGGCAATAAAATTCTTTGTGAAAAGATGCCAGCGTATTCCTCGGGGCTATATTATACTCACATTAGTCCCGTTGAAGTGAATGTTGTCTCTAATAAAAAATTTGATGACCAGAAAACATTCATTTTGTGGCATGATCATTTGGGTCATCCTGGCAGTGTAATGATGCACAAAATAGTTAAAAATTCACTTGGACATCCATTGAAAAATATAAGGATTCCAAGATCAATTGATTTTCCATGTGTTGCCTGCTCTCTTAGAAAGATGATTGTCAGGCCATCTCTAAATAAAATTGGAGTTGAATCTCCTGCATTTTTAGAAAGAATTCAAGGAGATATTTGTGGGCCAATTGCCCCAGCATGTGGACCATTTCGTTATTTTATGGTGTTGATCGACGCATCAACACGTTGGTCACATGTAAGTCTTTTATCTACAAGAAATTTTGCATTTGCAAAACTCCTTGCTCAAATCATACGTTTGAGAGCTCAATTTCCGGATTATTCAATTAAAAAAATCCGACTTGATAATGCAGGAGAATTTACATCCCAATCATTTAATGACTATTGCATGCCTATTGGGATTGATGTGGAGCATCCAGTTGTTCATGTGCACACTCAAAATGGTCTTGCCGAGTCTTTAATAAAGCAATTACAATTCATTGCTAGACCATTATTGATGAAATCCAGTTTATCTACATCTGTTTGGGGACATGTTGTATTGCATGCTGCAAATTTAATTCGGCTAAGGCCTACTGCAAATCATATTTTTTCCCCATTGCATATGGTAACTGGAAAAGAACCAAATATTTCTCACATAAAAATATTTGGATGTGCCGTATATGTACCAATAGCTCCACCACATCGTACAAAAATGGGTCCTCAAAGAAGGCTGAGAATTTATGTTGGCTTTGATTCTCCCTCAATTATAAAATATCTTGAGCCAATGACTGGTGATTTATTCACAGCTCGTTTTGCTGACTGTCATTTCGATGAGACAGTATTCCTAGCCTTAGGGGAGAAAAAAATGAGAAAAAGGACCCATGTACGAAAGAGATTACATGGAATGCAACACGATTATCTTTTCTTGATTCAAGAACAAATGCATGCGAACAAGAAGTGCAAAAGATAATTCATTTACAAAATGTTGCAAATCAATTATCTGACGCATTCACAGATTCAAAGAAAGTGACAAAGTCACATATTCCAGCTATGAATGCTCCTGCCAGAATTGAAATTCCTTCAGAGAAAAATGAAAAAACTCTTGCAAATGAGTCTTCAATACGCAAAAAGCGTGGCAGACCACTTGGTTCAAAATATGTAAAACCAAGAAAACTTAAAAGGCAAGAGACAATACATGAAACAAAAGACGTTCATTCTTCAAAGAAAGAAAATGAACGAACCGAGCATGTTGATATAAAAGATAATATCAACGAACAATTTGTTTCAAATGAGGATTTAACCATCTCTGAAGATGTGAATAATTCAGATGAAGATAGAAACGTTGATAATTATGAGATTTCAATAAATTACGTTTCTACGGGATTACAATGGAACAGAAAAGATGTTCATGTTGATGATATATTCGTATATGCCATTGCCACCAACATCATGGATGAAAATGATGACATTGAGCCAACTTCAGTTGATGAATGTCGACGTAGACATGATTGGCCAAAATGGAACGAAGCAATTCAGGCAGAATTGAAATCACTTGAAAAACAGAGTGTTTTTGGGCCTATAGTTCCTACGCCAAAAGGCGTGAAACCAGTTGGTTTCAAATGGGTTTTTGTGCGTAAGCGCAATGAGAAAAATGAAATTGTGAGATATAAAGCCCGACTCATTGCCCAAGGTTTTTCTCAAATTCCGGGGATAGATTATGAAGAAACTAATTCCCCAGTAGTTGATGCAACTACGTTGAGATTTTTGATAGGCATGTCTATATTTGAACTACTTCAAATGCGTTTAATGGATGTAGTGACAACATATTTATATGGATCTCTCGATACTAACATATATATGAAAGTTCCTGGAGGGCTAAAGATGCCTGAGGTTTATAGTTCAAAACCTCGAGAGATGTTTTTCATAAAATTGGAAAAGTCACTATATGGACTAAAACAATCTAGCAGAATATGGTATAATCGTCTTAGTGAATATCTGCTCAGAGAAGGATACAAAAATGATCCAATTAGTCCATGTGTTTTCATCCGTAGATCTAAATCAGGCTTTGCCATTATTGCAGTATATGTTGATGATTTAAACATCATTGGAACTTCTGATGAAATAGAAAATACTGCAAAATATCTCATGAAAGAATTTGAGATGAAAGATCTTGGGAGAACAAAATTCTGTCTTGGTCTTCAAATTGACCATTTGAAAGATGGAATATTCATCCACCAGTCAAATTACACGAAGAAGGTTCTAAAGCGGTTTTATATGGATAAAGCACATCCTCTCACATCCCGATGGTTGTTCACTCTCTTAATGTACATGATGACCCGTTCCGACCTCGTGAAGATGATGAAGAAATACTCGGTCCAGAAATACCATACTTGAGTGCTATTGGAGCTTTGATGTATCTAGCAAACAACACTCGGCCAAATATTGCATTCTCAGTGAACTTGTTAGCCA